TTTTACCTTCCATGTGAGCAGACCTTAAAGTTGTTATAAAGCCAAAGGTTTTTTACATTAATGCATTTTATGCATTAAGGTAAACATCTTTTGTGCATGGGGATCCTCCAGCCCCCTTTATACTTACCTGAGCCCCATCGCGATCCATCATTGTGCATGAGAGTAGCAGCTCTCACGGCTATGTCTCTCCTCGCCAGGGAGATTAATAGCAGCAGAAGCCATTGGTTCCCTCTGCTGCCAATAAAACTCTGTGATGAGGGAACAGGGGCAGGTCCATGCCCCACTGTCTCTGTCTATATTCATAGACAGCGCAGCTTGGGAGCGAGCCCCACACGAGTGCCCTAATAGGACATGGCTTCCTACAGGGGCATTGGATGAAGAGGAAGAGCCAGGAGCAAAGGAGACAAGGATCAGACAAGGATCAGGGCTGCTTTGTGCAAAACTATTGCACTGAGCAGGTAAGTATGACATGAACGTTTATTATTTTAATTTAAAAAAATGAAGATTTATAGTTGCCTGAAAAATAACCCCACACCATAACCCCCCTCCACCAAACTTTACACTTGGCACAATGCAGTCAGGCAAGTACCATTCTCCTGTAAACCGCCACACTCAGACACATCCGTTGGATTGCCAGACAGAGAATCATGATTTGTCGCTCCAGAGAACATGTCTCCACCGCTCTAGAGCGTGCTTTACACCACTGCATCTGACGCTTTGCATTGGACTTGGTGATGTAAGGTTTGGATGGATCAGCTGCTCGGCCATGGAAACTCATTCCATGGAGCTCTCTACACACTGTTGTTGTGCTAATCTGAAGGCCAAATAAAATTTGGAGGTCTTTAGCTATTAACTCTGCAGACAGTTGGCGACTTCTGTGCACTGTGCACTTCAGCATGCTTTGACCCCGCTCTGTCATTTTATGTGTCCTACCACTTTGTGCCTGAGTTGCTGTTGCTCCCAGTCGCATCAACTTTGTTATAATACCACTAAGAGTTGACAATTGAATATTAAGGAAGCAAAGAAATTTCATGGATGGACTTATTGCACAGGTGGCAACCTATCACGGTACCACACTGGAATTCACTGAGCTCCTGAGAGCGACCCATTCTAGTGAAGGGAACTCTTGAGACGTCAGCATACCAAGACATTTTGGACAATTTCATGCTCCCAACTTTGTGGGAACAGTTTGGGGATGGTCCCTAACTGTTCCAACATGACTGTGCAACAGTGCACAAAGCAAGGTCCATAAAGACATGGATGAGCGAGTTTGGGGTGGAGGAACTTGATGGCCTGCACAGAATCCTGACTTCAATCCGATAGAACACTTTTGGGATGAATTAGAGCAGAGACTGTGAGCCAGGCCTTCTGGTCTGATATCAAAGCCTGACCTCACAAATGCGCTTCTGGAATAATGGTCAACATTCCCATTGACACACTTCTAAACCTTGTGGACAGCGTTTTTAGAAGATTCGAAGCTGTTATAGCTGCAAACGGTGGGTCAACTCAATATTGAACACTATGGACTAAGACTGGCATGCCATTAAAGTTCATGTGCATGTAAAGGCAGGTGCCCCAATACTTTTGGCAATATAGTGTGTGTTTGTATATATATGTGTGTTTTTACCTTTTTTTTATAAAACATATCCAATCAAAAATAAATAAAACTATAACTGTAAAGGGTGAACCAACTCAATATTGTGCAGAAATACAGTATATGCTAGGAATGCACCAATACCAATTCCAATATCTGCATCAGTATAGATACTGAGTGTTTTCATGAGTATTAGTGCTCATGAAAGTACTACAGATACCTTAACCGATACTTTGCGGTGCTATTTGCATCAATGGACCGCAAAGATTAACATGCAATTTGAACAGGAATGCGATTTCTGTACAAATCGCATGAGGTTTCCCCACTGCTACTGTGCGAAGCCAGGCTTGTCATAGCTTGAGTTCACACAGTTGTGGTGCGGGAAACCTCCCTGCAGGCATCCCATGCTGAGTGTCAGTGGTAGGAGAGGAGAAACAGCGGCAGGGATTTGAAATCTCCCTGCTTTCTTTCCTCTACTTGCAGCGATCACAGTTTGGGCTAGACGGCATCTGATTGGTCAGCCTGGGTTCACACGGGAGCAGTGGGAAAAAAATTGCATTCCTGTTCAAATCAGGGGCGGACTGACAACTCATGGGGCCCCCGGGCAATAGGGGATCATGGGGCCCCTGTGTTCTTGCCCAAACTCAAAAAAGCCTATGAAATGAAAAGGTACCAGGGGCATCTCATGGGGTCCCCTACCGACCCCGGGCCCTCGGGCAGTGCCCGAGTTTCCAAATGGTCAGTCCGCCCCTGGTTCAAATGCCTGCTATTCTTTGCGGTGCAATTTGCATCCATTAATGCAAATCGCACCGCAAAGTATTGGTACTCAATATAAGTGAGTACTTGATAGAAAGCATCAGTACTTGTACTCGCTGATAAAAAAACAGTATTGGTTCATCCCTAATAGATACATTTTCTGCATCTCTGTAGCATTCATTATGCAAAATGACCTCATTACTTGAACTTGCTAATTGGTAATTCCATTAGTATAGTAAAGTATTAGTATCATTTTGCATTACTCCAGCTAAAACTACAAGTATGTTCAACATAATACTGAACAAACACAATCAGCATACAAATACATCGCTACCCTAAATCAATCAGTTATTCTTAAATTAATCCAGGACACTCCCAATGAATTTAGACTTTTAAAAGACCTCGTCTGAAAATATAAGTAAGCTATCTGTTGGAATTGTAACCAGTGTTGTAGTAATTAAGCAAATCTCAATTAACTTGATTTATGAGCTGTTTTCACAGAGCAAGATATTTGGAGTGGTGCCAGCAGCGTCTATGGTCTCTACCATCACTCTAAGAGAGCCACTAGAGAGGAGTGCAGTGCCACACATTGATTTTCTTATTTACACTAGAAAAATAGACTAATATAGAGAAATTCATTTAAAGCTGAACTCCAGGAAAACAGAGAAATATACAGTTAAAATCCATATATGTGAGCTAATTTATAAGAGCACTCTCACACTGATTCTTAGCAAAAATGAGGTAAAAACAGATGCGGTTTTGCCATGATTTTGCTGTGATTTTACCAAGATTGCGGTACGTTTTTCACAGGACATGTGACTCAAAAACCACATCAAAAATGCAATGCAGGTGCATTTTTTTATGTGTATTTTCTGCATTTTTGCCACATTTTCAATGCAGTTCGATGGGGTGGTGTGTTTTTACTGCAGTTTTTTTAATTGACCAAATATGCCCCAAAAATGAGGCAAGCAGAATTTTTTTTACACTGCAATGGAAGTGCAATGTACCAGTGTGAAGACATACATAGACATACATAGGGAAGCATTTTTTCTTCAGTTTTGCTTGCACTTTTTGTGCAAAAGTGCTTCAAAAAGTCTTCAGTGTGGAATGTGTAGTTCTATCCTTTGTAGTGATGCTATATATACAGCCCTACCAGTGCATAATATCAGTCTATTTCCACTTAGTACGCTATCTCCTGACGTTACAACTTCAAACGTACCAGTTACTGTGACAATCCATACTGTTAAATTTAGGTAGCTCTTAGGCTGCATTCACACCCTTGTCTCATGTTTGTGTACATTTTTGAGTGTTTTTGGAGCTATGGTATTTTTTTATTAGCCAATCATCTGTTACACCATTTGTTACTATGTGTTGCTGAATTAGTTGCTTCAAAAATGTACCAATCTGCCCAATTCTAAACAAAAGGAGCCCCAAAATGTTTGTTGAGCTGCAGGCTTTTGGCTTCTGGCATTTTGGAGTAGAGATGGGAACCACCACCATAGTAAATTCATTTACTTTTTCTCTCTGAGCATGTTGAAGGTTCGAGATTCTAGCTACAAAATGCTCAGATGTGAATGGGGCCTTAGGTAAGTCTAATGTTTGGCCTAGATCTTGTAGTCTGCAATGACTACTTATGATGCCTTTTGGAATGGTTAGTAGGGCCTCACATGATGTTGATCAGTGTATCCTCTTCTAGTCAGTACCTCTGAAGCAAAATACATGTATATAAAACCAATTTATTTGTAACTTTCTTTACCAAATTCTGGGCTTTGTTTATAGCTCTCTTTTACACAAACACATTTTCTGTATGCTTGAAAATACATTTTTGGGTTTTCAATAAATGGCAATGTGAAGAGTATCATAATCCATATAGAGCAATTAGAATTATTCTTTCCCTGCTCTGATTCCAGTAGTGGCTCAGAATACATGCAGTTTATTTATTCACTAGCAGTAGTCAGTGCAGAACTCCATAAATGATACATAACTGTCCTACAAATGTCAGGGACTTGCTAAATATAGCATGTATAATAAAACTGCTAATAAAAGCTACTGTTTCATGTGCTTTGTTCCTTTGTGAATGTAAGGTTAACTGCAAAACCTGCAGTTTTCTGCATAAAAGTAATGCAGTCCAGCATGGACAGAACCTTTGATGTTCACATCACAGAGTACCCTAACCCCTCACCACAATATTAAAAAATAGCAGGTGCATGGGCAGTGGTGAGATTAAAGGTGAGAAATCTGTTTATTTGGATAAAATATACAATTCAGTTGTTGTACATTATTTAACATAGTCTTACCCTTTTATTAAAAGTCAGTTACTAATTTAACATTATTTGTGTGCAATTACAAAATTGTTGGATTGTGTTGTTAGAATAAAGCTTCTTTGCAGGGAGATTAACCACTAGCCTACAGGGCACTTATACCCCCTTCCTGCCCAGGCCAATTTCCAGCTTTCAGTGCTGTCACACTTTGAATGACAATTGCGTGGTCACGCAACACTGTACCTATATGACATTTTTATCTTTTTTTTTGTGACAGATAGAGCTTTATTTTGGTGGTATTTAATCACCTCTGGGTTTTTATTTTTTCTTAAACAAACCAAAAACCACTGAAAATTTTGGAAAAAAAAAATTTTTTTTCTTAGTTTTTGTTATAAAAAGATTTTGTAAATAAGTGATTTTTCTCCTTCACTGATGTGCGCTAATGAGACTGTAGTGATGGGCACTGATAGGCTGCACTGATGGACACTGATAGGTGGCACTGATGGGCACTGATGAAGAGGCACTGGTAGGTGACACTGATAGGCATTTACAGACATCACGGATGGGCACTGAAAGGCAGCACTCATATATGGCAATGATAGGCGGCACTGACTGGCACTGATAGGCGGCACTGACTGGCACTGATAGGTGGCACTGACTGGCACTGTTAGGTGGCATTGATAGGCGGCACTGACGAGCACTGATAGGCGGCACTGATGCACACTGATAGGCGGCACTGACTGGCACTGGTAGGCGGCACTGACTGGCACTGATAGGTGGCACTGATTGGCGGCACTGATAGGTGGCACTGACTGGCATTGATAGGTGGCACTGACTGGCACTGATGGGTGACACTGAAAGGCAGCTCAGATGGACACTGATATGTGGCATTGATGTGCACTGGTAGGCACTGATGTGTGGCATTGATGTGGCACTGATGGGCACTGGCAGGTGGCATGGATGAGCACTGACAGCTGGCACTGATGGACACTGACAGGTGGCACTGCTGGGGCTACACAGATCATCAGGGCACACTGATCATCAGTGCTCTGATGATCTGTGTACATGTCCCCTCCGAGGAATGCCGATTACCGACTCTCCTCTCCTCACGAGCTGTCAGCGTGACAGCTCGAGGACAGAAATGCCGATAACCGGCATTTCCCTATTTACATGTAATCAGCTGTGATTGGACACAGCTGATCACATGACCGAGCCGACATCTTCGGCTCTTTCCGTTGATCTGTGATCCGCTGTGACCGAGTGACACAGCGCACCACCAATTGCCGCGCTGCGCGCTCCAGGAGCCGCACATGCGCGGTTAGAATGGGAGGACATCATAAGACGTCCTCTCAGAACGAGAGAACCACCGTCCACCTGTCATTGTACTATATGGTGGGCGGGAAGCGGTTAAAAGAGGCAACATAATGCAGTGTTGTTTTTATTAATAACTGTTTTCGTTATTTTGAAAACACAACCAATATAGGTACTTGAATTTTACTTTGTTTTGGGCTGTCACAATCCCCAGTACAGCAGCACTCAAACTACAAGAGGGAGGGCAGTACTGGTATCCTATCAGGTGTTCTGCATGTAAATATGCTGACAAAGAACATGATGCTAGGGGTAGGAGGCAGTGAGAAAAGAGATAACCTTGTCAGTTTATTGCTGCTTCTTCAATGCCCAATCAACAAGATAGGGATGTAAAATAGATAAATTCGGTATCCACAAAAAAATATTAAATATAATAAACTTAATTATAACAAACTGTAAATCCAATAAAGTCCCGCAAAAATCCAAAAAATGGATAAAATGGATAGTGAACTGATAGTGCAAGTATGCAAGTAAACTGATGAAGTGAAGTGTAAACCACGGCTTGAACTATCTTGCTTTGCGTGTAATGAGTCTATTTCATATATTAGTTTCACCTTTTAAGTTGCATTACTGAAATAAATGAACTTTTGCACGATATTCTAATTTTTCGAGTTTCACCTGTAGTACACATTTTTCCTTTTGTTATATCTAGAGTAAGTTTGTTTTTCAGGATCATGCTTTGAAACCCTGGCATGCCAATGAAATACTACAGAATAAAATTGGCAAAGGCCACAGAGCTCCTTTTGTATTGATTAGCACATATCAGATGACTAAAGAGATAAATATGTATATTTCCAAAGCAATGTTTGCAAAAATGTGTCACTCAATATTGTTCTTTATGTTTTTTTAAAGAATATTCTACTTTAAAATGTTTACCTCAATTTTTTTTTCTTCCAAAAATAAAACCAATAAAGTAGGCTCAGTTTAACAGTTTTACACTGCTTGTAAATACACTTTTATGTTGTCTTATACACAGTTCTTAAGATTATTTTATTGGGCATAGTATATAATTGCAGTACAAAACATAGTGAAACAAGGAGACTAAGCAATTATAACAAACAACAGTAATTCATTTTTAAAAATGCTTTTCGAAAGATACCCTACCCCAAAAGCTCTGAATCATTTAGGGGGTTATTTAAAGTATATATAAAGTAAAAACCTTTTTCTTTTTTTTTTGGATAGTGCAGGGGGAGGGTAAAATATCTATCAATTTTCTTTTTTTGTGAAGTGCCATGTCCTGTAGACTCAAGAGGAAGTACGAAGATGTAAATGATATCAGGTCAGTTGACAGTGACATTGCTCATCTGAACAATTATACTAAAGGAAACTCCCAAACAGGCACACAGACAGCAATAAAAACCTGACAGAGGTTCTAACCTCTCGCCACTTTATCCTATTCTAAAAAACAATGCTTTGTGGATGTCACATTAGTACAGGAGCAACAGTCTGGCCCTGTATATGTTGCACGAGTTGTCCAGGGAGCTTAAAACCCTCACATGCCACCTGCTACAGCACACCAAAATTACAGAACAAATGGGTAATATGCAAAGTATATACTGTATATACAAAAAGGCTATAGCACTAAGTGTGACATGTTGTGACTATGTTTGTGCAAGATTGGTAACTGCCTAGAACAGATTGGAGAAAAGGGAGAAGCTAAGTTCTCTACAATAAAAATGTTTAATCTTTCGTCAAGGTCTCTTTCAGCTTAGAAGATTTCTACTCTACAAAAATGGCTAAAATGTGCCCCTACATCAGACCAAACCTTTTCAACTTTTCAACAAAAATCTAAACTGGTTTTCATGGTCACTTATTATCAAAAGTTTTTTCTATAATACAACACCATGCAGAAACAATCTGACCTCTCCCAACACAGTCCAAATAGAGTAGGACATCCCTAGAGAGAAGATGGACTAGATAGGGTTGGAAGATTTGCAATCCCTTTATACTGAATCTGAAGCAGAAATATAATAAAAACAATCTTATCCTATCACACAATGGCAAACATTAGACAACAAAGTGATTCATACCAACATCTGACCTATATTTTATCCACATCATGCCAGCTAAGGGACCATACATCAAAACTTTTTACTTTTAAATTAAAAGATCATTTGTAAGAATTGGTCTCTCCAGGGGCAGTCAGCAATAATGGATATAAAAATATCTGAAAAATATCATAATCCAGCAAGCCAACAAGGGTGGAGGTATTGTCCTGCAAGGTCGGGAGGATTATATGAAAGTGTTACTGTCTGATAATGTAACTTATGGTATATTGAACTCCTCATTCTTTGCTAACCTTTTGCTTTGCCTCATGACCCAAGCATTGGCTAGAGGTATTATTTCTAAGAAACGGAAAAAAAAATAATTTTAACACACCTACACTAAAAACATCTCCTCATTCTTGTCTATATCAGGAATGTACCAGTGCAGAAAATTAAATTGCCTGGCATGCAATCACATCATAAACAAAAGTCCCTCAAGGACTGTAAGGGCCAAGGTTACACCATTAAAGAGTTTCTGATTTGTAGTAGTTTTAGTACCACTAACACCCCAAATCCTTTTTTTTACAGCTGTTTCACAATTACAGAGAATTTATTTTTTTTCCCTACTCAGAATCAGCTTTGGGTTTAGCACTCTGTGGGTGAAGGTTTTCTGGTAATTTTTTGTATTCATTTTTCTAGTGGTTGTAGCCAATATAGACGTTCTATTTTTTTTTCTTGTTCAGTGTGTTTATTGGTTTTCAGATACAGGCGATATCATATCACATACAATGCATTTTAGGATGACTAATATGGCTGCCAAGGTTACCTATGAGGTTTACAGCTACAATGAAAAATGAAAGGTGGGATACAACAATAATGAAATGTCCATGGTCTCCAGATATTGATTTTATAATGGTGTGTACTTGTGAGCTACCATAGAGGTATAAACAATACTTATAAATAACTAACTCCTAGAAATGTGATGGTGCATCAACACAAAAACACATACTCATGGTGCTGTGTGAAAAACGCTCTGTATTGCTTTGTGGAATGTGAGTTCGCATTTTGCCGGAGACAAATTAAAAGCTTCTGTAAAGGATAAAGCACTATGTGAGGATTTTTTCTTTTTCATGGCCTAAATTGGAGGAGCAAAAGGGAAGAAGAGGAGATAGGAGATAGACCCCCACAGGACGAGGGGAGATATCCATACCTATCCATCCAGCCCTCATAACCCAGAAGAATTTGGGAGGCCATCTAGTGGAAGGAAAGTAACATTACAGCCCACTCCAACAGCAATATATTTTCCATATACTTCTATATACAGATTGGGACGGTTATATTTTACCTAAGTTAAGGACAATCAGTATACAGTTCTAATTACTATTTTAGGCTGCACAGGTGAGGTGAGCACACTATATCATCTGCACAGCAAGATTAAATAGAGTTTTTTTATTATTATTTATAATTTTTTATATTAACTTGTTTATTACTCTTTAATATTTTTTATTTTTTCATAAAATTGTTATGTGTATTTTGCAATTTTGCACACATATGCTTTGCACATATATAGCAATATGAATGGAGGTTTTTTGTTTATCTGATTTGATTAATTTTAATATCACGCATATGGAATTTGAATAGATTTTTTAGTTTTTTCACATTATCAATTTTATTAATTTAGCAAGATTGTATTATAATTAATTACAGCATAAGGGGTGTTCTAATTTTAAATTATACCACTAAGGATTAATAATTATTTATTCATTTATTTGGATTATGTATTATTAATTAGTATAGATGTTCATATTATATACGTTTGAAGGGGAGAGTATTGTAAACACTTTTGAGTAGTGGAGCGCGACACATTTAATATTTTACATGGTCTCCAGATAGCTTAGTACCTCTTAAACCTGATGTGATGTGTGCTTGAATATTCTTCTGCAAGAGAACGTTGTTGATTCTAGACTTGGTTTCACCCAAGGATAGGGTAGGTGATTGCAATGCTTTTGCAATTGTCTGTTTCACTGCTGTGAAAATGGGTAGCAGCAGTTTGAAAGTATGCTTTTTTATTTCCCAGGACTTACGATTTAACAGCTCATACTGGGCTGCAAAAGGGATATAGGTTTTGAAGAGTTCTGAGATCATCCAGTAGATAGTGGACCAGAAGTGGTTTACAATATGATCACCAAATGTGAAAAAAATTAGCCAATCTGTCGACATTTGGAAAAGCAATGGGCAGAGCATCCTGGATGAGCCACTCTAGAAGGGGCGAGATACCATCTAGTTAGAACATTTTAGATTTTCTCCACTGCCAGAACATTGGTGGAACATGATTTACACATTGTATTATTTTCAAACAAGTGAGAAATGATCCAGATGGTGGGCAGGAAATACTCTAATTTTTATGAATACCTTTTTTTAATAAAGCTTAGTGTAGTATAG